TGTTTTAGCCTTGTGGATGCTTTGTTTGAACTGACTTCCTGCACAGATTGGTTTCTCCCGAGGTTAATACTGGCAGAAAAATCAATTTCAGAAATTTATATTTAAAATCACATGCGTAAATACTGGCAGCAGAGGTAAATACAGAGAAAATACTTGGCAAGGTACCCAATTAGTATTTTATGAGACACCTACTAAACTTACCAATATTCATATAACAAATACCAAACAACTTCTCCTAAATTATCCTAATTATTAATACATTCGTAGTAATTTCTATTCAGACTGCACAGGAATAGATAATCACACTCACCTCCATTTCATCACTGGAGACCAAAAGTGCCTTCCCTATCAACTCTTTGTATTAACTTTTTTCCCCCTTTTATCCCTTCTCCTTTTTTCCCCATTCTCCCAGTAACATGCTGCACAAGCATATACAAAAATTCACATACATTCTCTTTTATAAACAAGACATACACTTATTTCCCAGCTATACATCCACACCCATATACACTGCTGTTCTCTCCCAGGTTCACCAAAGGAGTGCACGAAGCCTCCTCACCCTAATGGTTATCATCCCTACCCTTACAAGAGGAAATTGCATCTGCAAGTTTGGTCTGTGTGTGCTGCTTTACCTTCATCCCTTATTCCTCTCACTAGTAAAAGCCAGCTTCGCGTGCTCTTAGTCAAAAGAAAGAAAGGAAGGAGAAGGTACATAAAACTACAGGCTCAGACACACAATTGAGTTGCAATGCATGAGCGCGACTGCAAAAAAATGGCACAGGTGTACTCTCAGCTCAAAGAAAATCTAACAGAAGAGCTAGAGCTATTTGTCAAACACTTACAATTTAATAAATAAACTAAATATTCCACAGCTCAGCCAGAAAATCGCAAGTAAAAAGATTTTTATTTCAAATGGAATGGTTTATCAGTCAGATCTAATAGATCTAGGTAGCATTTTTTGGAGGCACTAAGGAGGATAATGAATTCAAAAAGTCTTATACTTCATATATAACTCACAGATCTTATCTAGGACCACTGTGTACAGTAATTTTATGGTCCCAGGTTTAAAATTTAACCACCCAAAGGAAAATGGATCAAGTTTCCCTGACTCAGTCCTTTGTCACCATCCGCTCAATGCTGGAAAAACTCTTATTGTAACTGGGGCCTAAAGAATTTTTTCCAGTCTCAAATTTTATTTTTAGAACCTCAATTTATTTTGTGCACAATTTTCACACGTTAGTTATTTGCTAACTAATCATAACAGCTCATTTTTATACTACTTCCACACTGTGAATTCCAGCTATTTACAGAGAAGAAAAACCCAGCAGGTGTCATTTTTCTAGACACAATTTACAAGGAATAAGGGAATATAACCAAGATATCTGAGCCTGAAACTCTGTAGGAACAAAGCAAACTGCATAGACTAGACAGCAAACTCAGAAGTAAGTCCAAGTCAAGATTTATAAGCTTTCCATATTTTCCTTTCTTTTTTTCCAAGGAGTTTCTCCATGTGCCAAACTGTTGAGGGTTTACATTTTATTCCAAAACCCATCAATCTGTGTTAAATTAAAAAAATAAAGCATGGAAATGCGCCCATTGTCTTCTTTTAAGAACCTAAAGTTACGCACAAACACACATGAGAACACTTAATGTGGATAGGCAATGGTTCATTTAGATCCACTCACACTGATTCAACCACTTAAAATTAAAATAACGTTGAAATAACATAGTACTGCTAAAAAAGGTCTGTGAATAGAAGACTGAATCTTTAGTTACACTGCATGCATTTGGTGCCTACTCTGGGAACCCTAAAACTAGCTACCCCTTGAAAATGCAATTGTTCTCCTTGGAAAACACTTGAAGTGCCACATTGAAAACTCTCATTCCTGCATCATTCCTGTCAGGGTATCCCACAAAAAAGCAAAGCCAGCATAAAACTCCCCTGATGTCTACTCAAGGGTCTCACTGAGGAGTCTCCCACATTAACACAGACATTACTCCTAATTTGCACTGAGGGGGAACGAAAAAAGGTTTGCAAAAAGCTAATCCACGCATTTGTTATACAGTGGGAGTGAATTTATCCATGCAGGGATCCATCCACGGGGTCTCAGAAAGAGGAAATACAGTTATTTTGTAGATCCAAAAGCACAAACTCCTGATAACACAGTGTCACTGACTCACAACAAACTTCCACAGCCTCAAGGATTCCCCAATGTGAGGGATGGGGTACGCATAAAAAAGGGAAAACCAGCGACCTGAGTCTGCTTGCCCAGTCTGAATGGCACATGGCCACGACCCTGGTGCACACCCACATCTCCAAAACTTTTCTAGCAGTTTTTGATCATTTTTAGCATCATCACATTTTATTTCTGGAAACCTTTTATTATGCTACAGAACCTATTCTTTTGTAATGCATTTAAATCTATTGGAGGATAGTGAAATTCAAGCAGAGCTGGATAACTAGGTAACTATACTTCTATTAAAAGTAAGAAAGGAAAAGGAAAAAAAACAAAAGATCTGGAAGGCCAGCTGCTGCCTGCAGCGCTGGGCTGGGACAGAGCAGGGGGCTCTGTTTCCAATTCTTCACCATATCTGATTTTCTGCCCAAAAAGTGAGAATAGTGATGGGCCTTCACTGTCCACAACGGCCTGTTTATAGGATTTTTTAGCAGGGCCAGTTTCCCAGCAGGTGATTGCAGAGTAAATCACACGCTACGGGACCCAATAATCCCACTCACTCCTCTGAGGGCTACTGAGGTAACAACGATTTCTAATGCTGAGGTGGCTCCACAGCCAAAGTGTATTAAAAAAAAAAAAACCACCCTGAAAACACCTGCACTCACCTGGTTTTTCATCCTTCCCTTTCACACAGACAGGACCCATAGGAATCCCGTGTGCTTTGGGTGTCCCTGCCCACAAGATAGCGGCAGCAGCCTCAGGGA